AATGTATTTACACCGAATTTGAATATTTTAACTTTTTAGCATTTTAAAGTAAATTAGTTACCAGTCGTGAAGTGAACTTTCGCAGAGGTGAACAACTTGTGTTTCGCGCGCTCATATGACCTTAGCAGTTGCGAGCGCCGTAAAACCTTATACTACTACTACAAAGATGAAAAGGCACCAAATTAATAGTGTTCAAGTTATTGCTAGAAAGTGAATTGTCATAAAAGGTAATAAAATTATGATTGATTGTATGTCATTCACTTTTCCTCTCTAGAAGCTGAACAAAAAATGGAAAGCCAGATGGTTTGTCCTCAGTGAGGATCAACTTTCATGCCACCAAAAGAAAAACAAATCAGTCATCATCAACTCTCTGCCTCTTTATGGATGTTCCATTGTGTGTCCTTGTCATGACGTCTCGGATCTTAATACACAGGTATCTTTGCTTTTTTCCTGCTTTGAAGATAAGATAGTTTATTTTCATTTTTATATAAGTGGCAAAAAAGAATATCACCAGGTGTTTTTTTTTTTTGTGGACTTTTTATTTATTTATTTATTTATATATATATATTTGTTTATATTGTTTATTTTCTTTGGGAAAAAGGGGCAAAGGCGTTCTGAAAATACTGACCTATACTATGTTATATTGTGTAATTCCATTTCAGTACATTTTGTGCATTAACAGGTAGTTGATGGGTGCTTGAGGGTTGTGTTGCAGTTGTCCTAATCCGTTTCTTGTTTAGAAATGTGGCTGTCATCATTGTGTTGACTGCCTGTAAACCATGACAATATTTACTCAACAGCACCTTCTTGTCTTTTTTCTATTTGAACTTGCTTCCAGGGTTTGCTGAAGATTCGCCTACCAGATGGAGAGGAGCTGTTCCTTCAGGCTGGTGGCAGTGAAGACAGAGATCGGTGGGCGCATGTCCTTGGTGCTGTGATACGATCATTGAGTACTTCGCAAGAGGTAACTACTTGTCAATTAACGATTGTTGGAAGAGGTGGGGATTGCTAGGTTTGCATGTTTACTTTTGTTTGGGGGAGGGGGGGGGGATATCTTTGGATAGAGTTAATTGACTGTCTGTTTGTTGTTTTGTGCACTGAACTTTTAATTGTTTTGTTCTGAAGTTTGTTTTATTTGATTTTTTGTAGGAGGGGGGGGGGGGGGGGGGGGGGGGGGGTTCGATTCTGTCTTTGGTTCCTAAACAGGCTGGGACCACTACAAGTTTGTTTCAACTTTCTATGTTTCTCATTATTCTACAGTGTCTTGATATATTGATTCAAAAAACTTTTTGAAAGAGCAATTGTCTTATTAGTTAGTGCATTTCAAATCTAAAATTACAAATTTTAGGCTCAAAGCTTTTAGCAGTGTGTTGCACCAGAGACCTTAGAGTCAGGCTAATTATGGAATTACTGCTCAAAACTGAAGTCACTATAGTCAGCACAAATAATATAAATATTAAGAGTATCTATCAGGCAATAGATGATTCTGTGTTCTGTGTAGGTAAAACGGCCATGTCATAAAATCAGCTGCAGAATGGGATGAAGTTCGTACAGTCAGTTACTCGTGCATGGGTACGAGAAGAAGACTGACAGTAAATTCTAGAAATTTCTACAGGTGCACTAGGCAAACCTTTGATATGTTGTAATGTTTCTTTAACACTATTTGGGATGGAAGTCAATGGACACTCTGGCATCGTCTAACTCTAATTCCTCTGTTTGTTTTAGTATTTGTTTCCTTATCTGCCTCCTTGTTGAATGTGGTCATGTCATTATGATAATGCCTTACTAATAAACTCTAATAATAACTCTACTCAAACTCTCAGTTTCAGTTTTCGTCCCTTGAAAATCAGTAAGCTGTGTTTCTTTTCTCTTTTAATTTAACCTCTTGTTTTTGTGCTTTCTCACAGATGAAGAATTATCCATTATTTCAGATTATTCATGACAAAATGGCTTTTCAAGATTTCCGCACCCAAGCTAATGTGAGGTAAATATTACCAAGATATCGAGTTATGTGTACCTGAGGTTTAAAGTCATAATGTAATATTATAACTAACAATGTGTTTGTGTGTGTGTGTGCATGTATTGGTGGTTGGGTTTTAGAGGAGGGGGGGAGGGGATGGGGACACTGCTCATCAGCAGGATCTACAGTTGCTCCACTGGTGGAATTACATAACCATCTGTGCTCAGATTATGTGTGACATTCATGTAAATGGACTGCTTCTATTTTCTTTCACTCCTCCTTCCTCTGTACTCATAATATCTGAGCCATGTGCTCAGTCTTTTGAAATTTGTTTCAATTTCAAAATATTTAAATTGAAGTTGCCTCGGGTTACGTTACACATCAAGAGTTTCGATCCACTCCTTGCTCGTGTCATCATTGTTGTCTTGTACCTCCCTTGTGCTGTCTATGGTCTACGAGAAGTGTGTTCAAATCCTCTTGTAATCCACAACTTCTCTTGTGTACCGGTGACGTCTTTTTCTCCAAACTTACTTTGTCTTATGTGAATAGAGTGTTCGGTTTAGCTGATAATTAAACTTGTCCTAGCACTGTGCTTGACTCACCTTTGAAATTCTTTATCTGATTCTAGTTGTGAGTTCAACTTTTTATGTATTAAAAATTGTCTGCAGGTGGTTGGCGGGTGCTGAGATGTGGTTTGCTTCTTCTTTCTTCTTAAACATCTACCATCCTGATTGCTCCACCTTCTTTCTGTGTGCTTGTTACTCTCTTGTAACACCTCTAGTCTTCGGCATTTATCTGACCTTGTTGTGTTGCAAGTGCAGTAAAACTCTTTAACAAAACTTTTTTTTAATTGTCTTTGATTGCCACAAAAAAAAAGGTTAGCTAATGTCAAGACTTCATTAATGCCAGAAACACAGTACTAGTGTTGAAAAGCACAGTATTTTCCTTCCTTAGACAATGAGCAATGTATATGTATGTTACTCCAGTTCCACAGCCCAGCCAATGTTCAAGTGTTAATGGGAGCTGTGTTTGTGTGGCGAAAAGAATGTGATTTAAAACTTTTTTTTTTTCAGTGAAATCATTGGTGCTATACAGGATCCAGATGCTGGTGTTGAGTCTGCCAGTCATTTGCGAGGTGGAGTTGTATTCAAGAATTGTTTCACAGGTTTGTTGTGAGGTGTACCGTAGTTTTTATTTTTGCGCTTGCGCTTCCAGTGTATCTGGCATGAGTTTTTTTGGTATGACCCGCTCGTATTTAAAGTATTGTACTCTGGAGCCTGGTAAATGACAACAGTTTTCTTTTTTATTATAGCTTGCTTTTGGACCTGATGGCCTTTTTCAGAAAGGATGTTTCTCAGAGAATGTGATGGGAGTTTGAGTGAGTGTGTGTGTTTGTGGTTTGAGGGGGGGGGGGTGTTAGTCTTCAGAAAAAGGCTGAATTTCTACAGTAAGAGCCTGTCGTTTTTTAAAGGAGCGGGCAACTTTTTAAAATTTCAATGATTTTAGCAGGGACAAATTTGAATTTTTGACTACTTTCTAGTAGACTAACATACTTTAACATTGATATAAGATTTATTTATAGTAGGTGGTCATGCCTGTTTGCTTGATTTTTTAAAATGGGTTTCTATGGTGTAGTTTGGCTGGTTTTGTGCAAACTGACGTACTAATACCATACTGGGTGATACTGGGTCATAAATTGTGGGGTGTAGGTTCCAACTTGTTTAGCTGCTCTTTTTTAAGTGCAAGAATAAGAAGTATTGCTTCCTGTTTTGGTTCAGGGTGACCTCACATGCACATTATGATAAGAGAAAAGGAGAGAGAGAGAGAGAGAGAGAGAGAGACTGGGAGAGGCAGAGAAAGAGAGAGAGAGAGAGAATGTTCTCATCTCTCCACTGTAGCCATATATGTACTTTCTGTGTACCCTGTCACTTGGAGGACCATGGTTCTCCCTTTGCCTTTGAAAGTACAGAATGATCCAACATGAATATCAGACTAATTCCTGTTGACTTCCAAATATTGTGTTCAAATTTAAAGGCAAAACTTCAGATGAAAATATTTACAAAACAAGTTGTAAAGTTGGTTCTTTTTTTCTTTTTTTTTCTCTTTTTTTTTATCGCCCTGTACTTGACAGTGTCAAGTAAGGATTTGAACTCAAAGCAAAATTTTTGTGTGTTTTAAAGGACGCTGGAATTTTGTTTTTCTTTTCAGGTAAATCCATTGTAGACTGGTTGTTAAGATGGTCTCTGGTTCGCAATCGCGTCAGTGGAGCAGCTATGGGACAGGCACTCATGAAGCTTGGCCATGTTCAGGAGGTTGACCTGAAAGATGGAACCAGCGGGGTCAGTCCCAAGTTCAGTGATGGTGACAAGTTATATCGATTTGTAAGTATGTCTTTATCTGTTGCATTAACTTCATGCACTTTCAAGACCGACAATTGAGCTGTTAAAAGCCAAAACAAATTTACATAATGCTTGTTGGGGTCAGCAGCAGATGGTAATTTCTGAATTGATCCCCTGCCAGAACTGAAGAACTTATGAACTCGTCAGTTTTAATTAAATAAGTGTACTTTTAAAAGGTGTATGCATATGACTGCATAGATGGTGAGAGATTTGATACGGTGCTGCAGGAAGATGTGCCTAGTACTGAAAAAGATTGGTCTGAGTGTACATGTGTGCTCGTCAATTTTTTGACATATGGTATAATCTTTAAATTTGTTTATTTGCGTATCTCTTGGTTAAAAAAAAAAGTCATCTATCGTGAAAAGTATTCAAAATATTTGCGATTTGAAGGAGGTGGGGCTCCCCTGGTTTCAGAGGTAAAATTGGCAAGAAAATGGCCGCCAGAGTGTGGTGACTTTCCAAGCATAAGAGTCCGTTGAAACTTGAAATTACATTTTTAGTGCCTTTAACCATTTAACTCCTGTGGATTTTCCCTAATACATGCCCGGAAATTCTAGAAAAGGAAGACAATCCTCTAAAAATATAATGTGAGGCATCGTGGTGAAATCAGGCGCTCGTCATAATAACAAAATTTGAGGAACAGGCATTTTTCCACCAGTTTCGCAATTTTATGCCCTGAAATCCTGGAAAAGGAAGACAATCCTCTAAAAATATCATCCATATGTAAGGCATTGTGGTGAAATCAGGCGCTCGTCATAAGAACAAAATTGGAGGGACAGGCATTTTCCCCCCAGTTTCGCAATTTTAATCAAATTTTTGGTTTTTTGTTCAACCCTTTTATTTCCAAATAAAAATACATTTCCATGTGAATTTTATTGGAAAAATGTTGATTAAAATCTCAAAATATGTAATTTTTCAGTTTTCAAGGACTCTTTAGCTATTGAAGTTACCTAACTTTGGCAGCCATTTACTCGCTACTTTTACCGCTGAAACCTAGTGAACTTACCTTTTTCAATCACAAATGTCTTCACTTCTGCTCAAGATAGAGGGTTTTAAAAAAAAAATCTAAAGTTAGATAAATGAACACACTTTCAGATGATGCCAATAACTCTACATGCACAATAATTGAGGAGCGCCTGATTCCACCACGTAGTGACACAAATGTTGTTGTTTTTTCTCCCATTATAGTTGTGACAATCGGGTTTTCATTTGTTACCTAGCTATTTCCTCAAATAAAAAAATAACCAACACATCTCGGGACTTGAAAATACATTATTACGGTAGTCCGAGAAATGAACTTTCAACGTACCTTGGATTTGTCCAACTTTCAACTCCATTGCACCCTCCATTTAGTCATATTTACATTAAAAATTCACACAAGCACTATTTCTAGGTCAATTTTAACCATTCTACAACTTGAAAAAGAGGAACAACTTGATTTTCTCTTTGCAGCAATGTTTTCAGTGAATTCTAATCAGACATTATTCATAGACCTCATAAAAATGCATACCAGAGTTGTGTCACTCGTATGCTGCTCGGTGTCACTTTTCGCCCGATTCTGTTACCTTTAGTTAGCGCGGCTCAGCAGCCCGCCAGAGCTCCCCGGATCGGGGTCACGAGGTTAATGAGCCCAGAAGCGACTTTGCCTGTGTTGGTTAAGAAGTTCGCTTTTTTGTCTATATTTGAAATGTTATGACTTCTTCCCCATTCCACACAGCAAACCATTACGCGAATGTACTAAAAGCTCAGTGTCTTGAAATTTATTCTGCGTTTGAATGGTTAATATCTGTGCCTTAGTTTTTGTTCGAGACAAGTGTTTGTAGAGTACCCAATCTGTCCTATTTTAGTTACAGACTTATGAATAAATTATTGTTTTTTAAAAAACTGCACGACAGATCTCTCCAAAATCTGTGTGAAACTAAGTGGCGTCGGTGGCCTAGTGGTTAGGCTCTCGGACTCGCAACGGTAAGGTCGTCGGTTTGAATCCCGTCAGGGGCCCGACGTTGTGTCCTTAGGAAAGGCACTTTACACATATTTTCCTCACTTCACCTAGGTGAGAATGGGTACCCGGCTATAGACAGCGAAAGATCTTGTCAGTTTGTTAGTGTTTGAGCGCTTAATCAGCTGCTTGCACTGTATGCTTCCCGAGAAGCTGAGAATGTTTCGGAGTGTTCTACGGTCTGTTGGGGTAATAATATAGTGTAAACCGCCGGAGTGTTCTACGGTCTGCTGGGGTAATAATATAGTGTAAAGCACATAGAGCCTGCTGTTGAGCGGGGATATGCGCTATACAAATGCTATCTATTATTATTATTATTATTAAACTGACTACGAATATCATGTCTTTTACCATTGAGAAATCTTAAATCTACTCAAGTTGCAATAGTCAAGTTATAAGAGAAGAAAGATGCACATTTGCATTTTTTAACTGAAGACACTCAATGTTAGCTCTTGTTCTATCATTAAACGGGAGAAAGTTACTCTGTGTTTGTTCATGAATCATGCTGTGTCTGTGGCAGCTCGATACAACTAAGAAAGATATATTATGACATTTAAAAAAAACAGAAAACTGGGTTTATACATGGGTAGAGATGCTCTTCTTGTATGGGATAAAAATAATGACTGACAGCTAACACATTCATTCTTTGTTTTTGTGTCGGACATCTGCGCGGACACTTATGAATGTAAAGAAATCAGAACATTGTCAGTTATTGCAAGTGGTCATATCAACGAAAATAAAAGCTGGAAAAGTGGTGCTGATTCAGTGTCACTGGAAAGCTAGAAATTACTCTTATAACACAATTACAAGAAGTCATCCCTGTTATTCAGTCAACTTACAAAACCTAGACATAGTGTTTTAAGAAAAATAAGGAATTTATGGAGTGTAACAGATACTGTTCGTTTATTACATTGTAGATGTATTCTGGCACTAAAATCGGTTTGTACTTTTTCATAGAGATATTTCAGGGTAATTTTGAGAAACTTTAGAGAAAATAATTGAATATTCACGATTATATTAGACACCTAAAGTTGTATTTGGAGGAATTACTTCATAGCGAATTGTGTGCCCGATGGATACAGTTGCAAAATTACAGCTTCCTATTATACACGCAGATACCATCTGTTTTTAGTATCTGCACCAATGTTATATCGTTCATGTTCCAAAAGTTCAACAATTTTTGTCGTGCCGTTTTTTTTTATATTGATTTTTTATTTCATTCTAACTTGTCAAAAAAATTTTTTAATTTAGCATTGCCGACTTCAGCACATCTAACGAAATAACCAGACATATTACAATGTCCGGTTTTTTTTTAGTCTCAAGAGCAGAAATGCTTGTTTTGGGTGCGTTAAATGATAATTACCATAAATAAATGGATACACCTAAAACTGTACATTAAAAAGTACCAAAAATTAAGTTAGCCCAGACAGAGCGGCAACAGGGAGCTGACCCCCGTGACCCCAACGTGATCAGGCGCTCAGCAGGGAACCCCCCCCCCCCCGCTACTACTAAAATTCCTCCGCCAGTGCGCCTTGGCCGCACAACACCACTCTAGGTTCGAATCGATGATTGCAACCCGCTTTAGGTGCTAAATAGTTTATTAACATTTTTCAGTAAAGACCACACAGAAAGGTGTTTTTAAATGGACGTAAAAGGTGCTGAGTCAAAAAACAAAAATTTAGTAGAAATTGCCAAAAGGGTAGAAAATGCCAGTCTCTTTGAATTCATTGTTTTGACAAGCACCTAATTTTACTACATCGCCTCACATATTGATATTTGTTTTGCCTTTAGGTCTCTGCAAAAATGTCCTGTAAATTATGTGAATGTTTTCAAGAAAGTGTTTTTGACAACTTTCAGACTTCTGTCAATCTGGGAGCGAAAAGAAACAGTTTTTACGACAGCACGGACAGTGACTCAAGCTCTTCAGATGATGAGGATGATGATGATGACTGCGATAAGGAGGAACAGAGGATAAAGAAAGGGAAAACTTTGAAAGAGGCTTTTCTAGCTAAAAAGGTTTGACCACTAGCGCTCGCTGTTCTAGATAGTTCTGTTTCGTGTGTAGATGCACTGTTAAAAGTAGAGTCAGAAAGGGCAGTGGAGACATTCAAGACTTTGATTCAGATTAGAATCAGAATCAGAGCCCCCACTCCCCCACCCCACCCCTTCTCCCATTCAGCCCTTTAAGAGCAGTATAAGTCTTGATTCTTCCAATATTTTGCATGTAATGTAACCATGGCTATGAACTTACTACTATGAAACAGACTTTGGACTTTGTATAACTCTGTCGGGGTGTGCTGTTAAGGAGGTTTTTTTATCACCCTTAAGATTGACCTTTGTATATTTGGTTCTGGTGCTTACAAATGTCAGATTTTTTGTTTTTCAATGATGTTGCAATTGTAACTCGGAGCATACCCCTGGAGTCCATTGAAGGTGAAACTTTTCCTTTCATGCCTTCTGATGTTGATTAGAGGAATAATCATGAAAGCGTAAACTGTTTTTTCTTGCTTTGTTTTTTTTTTTTAGAGAAACCTCCGAAAAGGATGGAAAGTGGTCAAAGTCATTGCGAAAGAAAGTCCTCCGTGTTTGCAGTATCATAGAGCAACCTATGCATCGGTGAGTTTTTTTGTCTTTTTTAAATGTTTCATTTTCACACCTACTTTTTATCAACAAGTTTTATTTTGGGCAGGTGAGGGGTGTTCATTTTGAGAAAATGGAAAATAAGTATTCAAGATACCCCACCTGAAACTCATAATGTGCTATAAGCAGGGTGACTGCCAGGCCTCGGAAATACCCCGGGAATTTGAGGAAATCTGTAAATTGCCCCGAGAAAGACCTGGGAAAATACTTTAAAGCTCTAGAAGATTTGAAAACCAAATCCGATAACGTCCTTGGGTTCATTTTTGCCGGTCGCGATTATGATATTTATTCGGCTTTTCAAGGTCTGAGAGGACGTTTCACGCGAACAGGCGGCTATGGCGGCACGCAGAAGTGCATTTGTCAATTGTGTGATACCGAAGCTCGATCAGGAAAATCAAGATCTACTTTCGCTTTCGTTACCACCCAGAAATTTTCCGGTAGTAATCTGATAACGCAACATTTTTAAACTGCAAGATTTGCATTACAAACGCTGTTTCGCTATGAAATTAAATCAATATTTGTCCAGTGCTGTCAGTTGTAGAAAAAAAAAGAAAGAAAAGAAAGTTATGCAAGCGTCTTGTCAGGCTCGCCATCGTCACCGGTCAGTGAACCTGCGCGTTCGGATCACATTGTGAATGCCGGCGATGGTTGGGGTCACCAAAGTTCATTCAAAGTCTGAGGGCTGTGAAGTATAGGACTCCAGAATGGGGGGATTATTGATTTTTTTAAAAGGTTCACTCGTGGGAGGGGGGATGGGGTTGAAGGCAGCACTGGAAGACAAAAACTGAACTTGGGAGCAAATTTTAGTATTTAGAATTTTGATTACTACTTGAGCTCTCTGCAAAATACGCGTTGGTGCAGGCCTTGTGTGGAATCGCGTTCATTGGATGGGTGATAGTGAATTACAAGTATTGTATATCTATAATATTTAGCTTTCTGTTAAAGATTCGCAGATTTTCAGTGTCACTGCATCTTGCCCTCACACTGAATGGGTCTACTTGAGCCATTCAAATTATTACTCTACTTTTGAGTTTGAGCAATAATTTTTGTCTTTCACGTGTATTATATAAAATAAGACACCCAAACTGGTTCTTGACAGTCAATATTCTGGTTCTAGGCCTTTTCTGAGGCTCAAAGCAAGATTCATCTTTATATAGTGCATATAGGCGAATATAGTGAGGGGAAAATGTACATAAGTAAGAACAGACTGAAATACCTTAGTCACACAGTAACCCAGTGCCACCCTGACATGTTGTTGACTGGATATAATGAACCTACGTATGTGTGTGTATAAATGGAGCACGCGCTGTCATTGTTATGTAACATGCCCCTGGAAAATGGATGAGCCCCCCCTGGAAAATTGAGAAGCCGGGTTGGCAGTCACCCAGAAGTTCGTCAAGTATTATGCTAAATTACTCTTGAGTATTCTCAAGTACAACATTAGGGATGTACTTTTCGCTTTAGCAGCGAGGTAATATTTTAATATAATTCAGTGTGGTTTTAATTTTCTGTTGCATAGTATGTCTTGGGTTTGGGGAAATTAGTGTGGTATGGAACAACAAGGGTGTATCATCAGGGTCATTCCACAAGGACCTTAGTTTTGAGAGAAATTGACTCGTTATTTTTCAAATAAAAAAGAAGGAAAAAAGCAAAATACAGGGAAACTGTATAGCAAGATGCCCCTTGATGTGTTTTGTTCGAATCACAGCCTAATCTGGATGTTCTTTATTCGAATAATGGCTTTACCTGGATGTTTTTATTTGGATCACTACATGAAGTGGATGTCTTTATTTGAATCACTGCTTAATCTGAATATCTTTATTCGAATCACAGCTTTATCTGATTGTCTTTATTTGAATCATTGCTTTATCTGGATCTCGTTATTAGAATCACAGCTTAATCTGGATGTCTTTATTCGAATCACAGCCTTATCCGGATGTCTTTATTCGAGTCACAGCCTTATCTGGATTTCTTTATTCAAGTCACAGCGTAATCTGGATGTCTTTATTCAAATCACTGCTTAGTCTGGGTGTTTTTATTCAAATCGGATGTCTTTATCCAAATTACTGCTTAATCCGGATGTCTGTATTTGAATATTGGCTTCATCCGGATGTCTTTATTCGAATCACAGCTAAACCTGGGTGTCTTTATTCGAATCACTGCTTTATCTGTATGTCTTTATCTGAATCAGGGCTTAATTTGTATGTCTTTATTCGGGTCATAGCTTAATCTGGATGTTTTTATTGGCATCACTGCTTTTATATCTGGATGTCTTTTTTCAAATAATGGCTATATCTGAATGTCTTTACTCAAATCGTCGCTTTATCTGGAACAACCCCCACCTCTTTCACCTCTCCTTCCCAGCAACTGGTTTGGGCAATTGTGGAATGATGCTGGCGATATGCAGTCTTGTAGTTTTGGTAGAGCAACAATGATCACCATTTTTCAGTTCAGAGAAACAGCTTTTGTGGTGTTTTCAGAGGCCAAGAGTTCCCATGCTGGGCAGATCATTTTGAAATTTTGTGTGTGTCTGCAAACTTACTCGTTCGAAAGAGTGGGGAATGAAGTTATTGCACAGAACAGCTTTGCCGCAGCTGAATAATTCTAAACCATGCCATACACTAAGAGGAGTTGAGGAGTTGAGGAGTTAGGAGTGTGATCCTATTTGTTTCCGTTCTATTCTCCAACCAGTGACTGGTTAAATAAAAATTTCCAAACCGGAGTTTTTTCAATTTCAATATTTTGACAAGAGCCTGATGTCCCCAAGATGCCTCACATTTAGTTTGCTACATGTCTTGTGAAAGCCAGTCGTCTGATTAGCACGAGTCATTGTCAGTGGATGATAATAGATGATAACTAAAATGATCCCCCACACTTAACCATATTGGGAGAACTTTAGTCCTTCCCATAGCCACCCCTTCCTTGCCCTCTGATGTCTACTTCCTTTTCTCATGCTAGGCTGAATTCAGGGAATGGGGGAGAATCCACCCTTCGGGGCGGTGCTACTGACTGAAGTGTCTTTAGGCCATTCCCGGGACATTAACCTGTTCATATGCATAGTAACAAACGCTACACGGAATGCTGGATATGGATCTACCATCAAATATCGAAACAACCTTGGAGAGAAGAAGCAGACCCAACTATTTGGCCCATGTGGAACATACAGCTCTAACTATGATGCAGAGAGAATCTCCATAGTAAAGACCCTGGAGCAGATCACCTAAGACTTTTTTGAAGGTGCAGTAACACCAGGGGATGTTGTTGTCTTCTCTGACTCAATGTCAGTACTCCAAGCCGTCGAGGGAGGAGGAGACTACAGAGGTGACGGGAACATTCTCAGCCTTGTAAAACAGATAGGCACTTCCTATGGCGTCCGGGTCACACTGCAGTGGGTGCCTGGCCATTCTGGAGTACCAGGGAATGAGACTGCAGACGGTCTATCAAAGACTGGAGCGAGCCTGCCCCAGACAGACACAACCGCCTCTTTACAGACCTGCAGAGGGATCATCCAAGCCAAAAGCAGAGACGAGTGGCTAAACAGATGGGCCAACGCAGAAACAGGAAGATCTCTCTTCGGGTACATGGACAAACCCAACCCCAAAGACCCTTGGAATCTTTTATGTATAGCCGATCAGACATTGATCTTCAGAGCCCGCACAGGACACTTATACAACAACAAGCACATAAACAGAATCAACCCTATGTGGGAACCCCATTGCAGACACTGTGACTACCACAGACCTGCCACTCATCCCGATTTAGTCGGGATATCCCGATTTTTTGCCCCAAATTTCAAGCATCCTGATTTTCCCGATTTCGATCGCGTGTATCCCGATTTTTTGTCCCAGTCCGCTGTTGTGCCGGATTTTTCTAAAAACTTACTCTGCCTTCTCCTTTATCGCGGGAAGCGCCCGTTGAACTTTTTGTCAGTAGGAACTCGGAGCACTATTTCCCGAAATATCGATGCTGCATTAAGTAGCTGATCGCCCCAAGTTGTGTGTGATCTTTGCCCGCAATCAGAATTCTCCAATGATAGCCTGGTAACTATTACAATTTATTTGGGACATACAAATAATCGATAATATTCGTATTTCCGCTGCTACTTTCAAAACAAGCCTTGTCCGAGGTCTGGTAACTGCGCGTTCACACCAAATACTCAGACGAGCGACAGTCTTTCTAACCCTTATACAACTACATGTACTTGCGCTGACCAGACTAACATACGGCCGTTGTCGTTGCTTTAGTCTGAACGCATTTTGAGTGATAAGAGATTTGTTGGTACAATTGGTCGGTCGGCCGCCGTTGTTATCCTAGAGTACTAGAAGTAGAACGACTGTCGCCCATCTGAGAGTTTTGTGTGAACGCGCAGTTAGTCGGACCCGTTAATAAAATTGTTACAATCAGCGCATTTGCGTCACGTGACATGACATCGCCGTGCGAGTTCTGCGTGTTGGGATCGTCCGTTGACAGGGTCAACTTAAATTCATGTATTTCGGGACTTATTGGTTGGGGTGGGGGGGTATAGACACTTGGACTAGGAGTGCTTGACGTGATGCTTCAGGATTTACAACAAAAAAATGATAACTGGCACGCACGCACGCGCGCGCACACACACACACACACACAAACACACTCAGAGGGCATATAGGCCAGTAATTTATGGACACCCCTGGAAAAATTTTAAGTCAGCTTTGGCAATCACCTTGGTGATTTGCTGTTGATCCCGATTTTTTTCACCAAATCCTGATTTTTGCTCCCTGAGATCCTGATTTTGAGGTTTCATAGAGTGGCAGGTCTGCTACCACGAGGAGACAGTTGAACATCTTCTCCTTCACTGCCCAAACCTGGCAGTTCTTCGACGCAAGCTCCTACACACACCTGCAGACTTACAACGCCTGCTCTACTCTGGCATTGACCAGATGACAAGGACATGTGGTTACTTGAGGGAGGCATTGCGCTGTGTGTGTCTGCAAACTTACTCGTTCGAAAGAGTGGGGAATGAAGTTATTGCACAGAACAGCTTTGCCGCAGCTGAATAATTCTAAACCATGCCATACACTAAGAGGAGTTGAGGAGTTGAGGAGTTAGGAGTGTGATCCTATTTGTTTCCGTTCTATTCTCCAACCAGTGACTGGTTAAATAAAAATTTCCAAACCGGAGTTTTTTCAATTTCAATATTTTGTGCTGTTAATTGTTTTTCAGTAAAATTCACATTGAAATGTGTTGTTATATGAACATAAGTGGTAAGCCCAAAAGCGAAAATTCAATAAAGATTATCCACCCCTTGGCGCTCATATGACCTTATGCAGTTGCAAGCGCCATAAAACCTCTACTAAAACTAAGGGGGAGAATCTGAGAAAGAGAGAAAGAAGAAAAAAAAGGAAGAAGGAGAGGGTATATGAAAAGAGAAATAAAATGGAGAGGGAAAGAGAACTACGAAAGAAAGGGGTTTATGAAAAGGGCAAGATGGAAAGGATCCACTTAGAGGAGTGCATGACTGAGAAAGGAAACCGATGCACAACGAAAAGATGCCTGGAGAGCCAAAATATACTGAGTATGCCTCACATGCTCTTCAACCCCACAACATATAGAAATATCATTGCCTCGATAGCTTCAGAGTTCTAAGAGGGGTTTTAGCCCAACACTTCAACAGTAAAGTTTGGTGGGTTCATTTCTGGCCTTACCAGGCAGAACATTGTATATTTTATAAAATCTCTTCACTCTGTTGTCCTCAGTTTATGAACAGATCCTCCAACTGCAATGAGAAAATATGGAAATGTTAGTAAAATGTGCTTAAGAGCCTGCAATGCAGTATGTCTGATGGTGATTGAGGTTGGACAATTGAAATGAAGTGACTATCCAATAGAGCTGCCATGATCCTTCCATTAGTTATAGCTTTTAGCAATCACTTTGATTTCACCATTAACCTACTGACTGACTTTGCTTCCAGGGCATTGAAGACAAGTTTCCTTCCAAGTTCATTTCTTTAACGTCGTGCAAGGTTATGGAAATAATCAAGCCCCCTTCTAACAGCAGTAAAGGTAATGTATCAGGAGTTATGTCATGTGATGACTTACAAGATCTATGCATTTGAGGGCAACTCTTATCACAATAGCCTCATCTGCCCTTGATAGCATACTGATGGGCCATTGCTGATTTGAAGCGAAGTAGAGCTAGATATGTAGCTTAGAAGATAATTCCTCCATTTTGCTTTTCCGTGACATTTATCCATTCCTTGAAAATGTCATCTACAGTTAATTTGATTTTTACCATTTCAACCCCTTTTGTCAGCAGTTTTGAATGAGTGTTTTTATCTTCAAGGTGAATAAGTATACTGCTGAAGTGAGAACTACATCCATTGAGGGGCATGATTATGAATACTTGTAAGCAGACTGAGACTCGGACAAGGGTGAAAAATCTCGGAGAACGCGTGTGCAAGTTGCGCACGTTAAAGATCCCTTGGTGGTCTAAAATCGATAAGAGTAGGCTTCGGCCGCTACCCGGGCAAAATTCAAAATTTCCTACCAACTGAAAATATTAGGTGTGTCCCGCGCGCTCATATGACCTTATGCAGTTGCGAGCGCCGTATGCGTAAAACACTTTACAAAAAAAAGACTGAGACTTCTTACATGAGGCGATTTCTCCTTTACATGAATTGGTAGTATTTCTTTAAATGTGAATGGTATTAATGAAGTGGAATTTACAGAAGCAGTTGATATGCTGTTGATGTTGGAACAGATGGGCAGTTTTGTGTTCATATTTTCACATTCTGCCACAATAACATGCAATCTGAATAACTTTATAAAGGATTGGATAGCATTCCTCTGTTCTATGCTGTTTTCAAGAGTTGATTGATCAGGAGTAGTACTGACACATTGCTTCCTGCTATCTATTTCTAGTCTTGTATGGCAGGGTGGTGTGAGTCGCAGACAAGAAGCAAAGTACTAAATTAAAAGAGGACAATTTATTCTATTAAAAGTTGTATTTTTTAAAATCATATATCAGTGCAGGTTTCTGTTTCTAAAGAAGAAAACTTTCTAAGGTTTTTCAATCTCCTGTACCACTGTGCAATTGAAAAATAGATATGTGTCACAATGTGGTGGAATCAGGTGCTCGTCAGTTCTGGGGCATGTGGAGTTATTTCTGTCATCTTAAAGCTTGTTCATTTGTCTATCTTTCAATGAAGAAGTACCCATCTGTCTTGAATAGAAGTCGAGATATTTGCGATTGAAGGAGGTGGAGGTCGCCAAGTTTCAGGGGTAAAATTAGCTAGAAAATGGGCCCCGAAGTTTGTTAACTTCAGTAACTTGAGTCCTTGAGAACTGAAAATTTCAATATTTTGTGCTGTTAATTGTTTTTCAGTAAAATTCACATTGAAATGTGTTGTTATATGAACATAAGTGGTAAGCCCAAAAGCGAAAATTCAATAAAGATTGCCAAACTGGAGGAAAAGTGCCTGTTGAGTGCCTGATTTCACCATCGTGCCTCACATATTGTCAGCAAATTGTTCAACTGGTCTAAGTCCAGAAAGTAAAAGCAAAATTTTTTTAGGGGAGAGAACAAAAATGTTCAATTCTTTTAGGAATCATATTAATAATAATATATATCTTTTCTTGTTTTTTTCTTCATGTAGAATTTGAATTTTGATTAAATGTTTCACGAATGTATGCAATCAGTATCCCAGATTAAATCTTTCGCTATGCCGAGCCTTGTGCAGCGGCGCAGCGAAAGTGACTTCGCTACAGCAAGCTGCCCCTGAAGGCTCAAGAACCGATCTATAATTCTACCTTAGATTCTATTCCAGTCCACGTATCCATGTTATTATAAAGGTTGTAATATAACTTTTACTTCTGGGTCAAGCGTTTCCAACGGAAATCGGAAGCTTTGATTCTGTTCAGAAACACGATTTCGAAGTTTTTGCAACCTTGTTTTATCGCAACGCCCAAATTATGACCCAGATACCAGTCTGAATACTTTTTCACAACAAAATGTATTAGTATTCTGTTTTCTAAAGAAATGTAGGACTCTTCTTTAGAATGTTGATACTATATTTGTAAAATGGACTCTAAATTGCCATTCCTGTGTTATTGGGAAATCGATATTTTTCAATGTTAGATGCAAATTGTCAAAATGGTTTTTTCTCCCCCAAATCACTACATTTTAGTAAGATTACACATAAAAATACCACTCAAGACACAGGTAGTTTTATTCCAAATGCAATTCTGAATAATTCCAAACAAGATATGTGTGTTTTGTATTGTTTGTAAACGCATGTTGTCCTTTTTTCGAGATTTTGTTTTTTAAAAATTTTCAATATCAGATGTTTTGATCTAAATGTACAAATTATGTGGAATGCATGAAAGTAACTGCAAAATGATTAATATTTTCCAGTTCTATATTCATGTATGGTTATTTTGATGTATCATATGACTGGGTGCAATTATATTTTTTCGATTTTCACCAAAGATGGTGAATTTTTTATTTTGAAATTTCATCCACATCCAAGAAAAATTGTGATGCATAATCGCCTCTTACAGGAACCAAAAGTTGAAAAATACAGAAATAAAGAAAACAGATGTATTCTACAAATCATACTGATAATTTTGGTATATAGTATGTTGATATTTATATGAATTTGTGGCCCCAGAGACCTTTGAACTGTGCACTCGTCAGCATCTCATTTCGCCCTCCCAAAAAAAATTTGTCCACAAGCCCAAAATAGTGCGTAGGGATGAGTTAAGAAACTGTAATTTAAAAAAATAATTCAAAATTTTGGGCTCTGTACAACTGAGCAGCTTGTTGACAATTATTTGGATTTCTAGGTTGTACATTTGTACAGTTGAAATGGGTTTTTTAAAAATAATTCTAATAATTTGGTTTTGGTTTTTTTAAAACTTACTACAAATGAGAATTTTGTCATCCATCTGTCCAGGCAGCAACAGCGAGGCAACAGCAGGGGACAAGGAAAGCCCAAGATTTCGCCTGGTTGTCCGCACGAAGAAAGGAAAGAACTTCACATTCCAGATGAAAGATGAGCTAGAGAAAGTGGAGTGGCTGTCAGTTGTGTCAGATCTATGTCGCAAGTCCTCTCAAGAGGAGAATAGTGGCACTGGTGCTAAAGCTTCGGCTTCTGAATGAGATAGTCTTGTGTGCCAGTGTGGCGATGCTGTGGTGCTTATCAGGAATGGGTATTCCCAGAAGACTTTCCAGAACTAATGGATTTGCACTACGCTTTATCACAAAGTAAGCAGTGATTACTGGAATTTTATTCCGCAGACTTTTATAGAAATCTTTTATTTTCTCAGACCGGTTTTTCTTGGCATTGTTGCTGGCTTTTTAGGTTGTTTTTTTTCTTTCCTGCAAGTGTTGTGTCCACTCCAAGACTATTCAGTGAACTGATGAAGAAAGCTTTTCTTTGACCTGCTCAAGTAACATGCTCACTTTTGTTAAGAAAGGCAGTTTGTGAAAGTTTTTTGTCAAAGCAGGCAAAACAAGCATGTACATGTCTTTTAAAGATTTGGAAATGTCATGGCTAGTAATGGTATTATTGTGTCCTCCCTGGTAACAACCAGCAAAGAGTACTTTTTCTACAGTATACTGTTGGTTTCATTGACAAATGACATGTCTAACTCCACAGCTACACCCCTTTTCTGGTGGATTTGCAATGGTAGTTTTTGCGGTTTCATCAATTCAAATTATCAAAATCCTGCAGGTCTTGGATGTGGTTATCAGTGTGGCAGAATTACTTACATTATTAGAATCCTAGGATAGGCTAAGCTGTACTTCATGTAAAAAAGTTATCTTAAGGTGTGAAGAACCTTTGTGTGAGGACGGAAGTGAATGAAGAAATGTACCTTAACATTGCAGTGTCATGCAGTTCAAGGGGTGCCCAAACCTGCAATTTCAAAGCCTGTGGATGGCCACAGTAGTCAAAAATAGAAATATGTAAATTTGTTTGTCCAGCAATTCTTTTTGTCCTCCTTTGAAGGGGCTCCAGTTGTGCAACTTATACTTCCAGCACCTTTTCAGACTTTTGGCATACATCACAGTTGCTGGGGCTGTTCCGTGGTCTCCTTTTTCTGGCAATGTTAGATTTTACTTTAAAATTCACTTCCTTCCTTGCTCACTTTTAAAGGCGCCATTTACTCTCTTATTTTGGCCCATTTGACTGCTCCAATTTTCCCTTTGCCTTGGTACATCTTTGCTGGCATTTTTCTTATATGCATTCCACTTATTTTTATCTTATGTGGTAAAACAAATGATTGTTCTGTTTTTGCTGTGGTGTGGAACTGATTTAGATAGTAATATTGGAATTGCTGCACACATGTAATATATGAATGTTTCATGCTAAGTGCATCATGTGTGTTAATTCATATTTTTATACTTTACATTGTATGACAGTGTAATGAAGCTGTTGGTGTGCTTCCGTCCTTAAAGAACATTTCTGAAAACATCCAGTCAAAGGAGTGATTGTTTTGTTCTCTGTCATTGTCACCTTCAAAATTTCTTCCCTGAAAAATGCCATGCTTGTTTGATTATCAATTCATCTTGAAAAACTAAAGGCTAGTTTGGTGGCAGCTGATCTGTTCCTGTATGTTAAAATGATGGCGGGTTTGGAGACTGTCCCTTTTTTCCGCACCTTTTTTGTCGCAGTAATTGTTGATTATTTTGCTTATGTTTCTATCGTTGGCTTTGTTGTGGGTTGCTTTCACAAACATTCTTTCATTTTTTTGCATACGGGCAGTACTCTTTCATTCCATCAGATGATGATATTAGAAAGGGAGAATTAATTTTTTTTGGTGTGTACATAAGTGATGTAGCCTTTCTTTTATGGTGTATGTGCTGGTTGAAGTAAGCATGTAGGCAATATTGAGAAGTCCATGGCTATAATTAGTCATTGTCACTTCTCAAATTTATATCTTTCAATCAGTAATAACCTGAAATCATATCTATTTCAACTGTGACTCTTTTTGCATGTTAATGTTTTACCAGAAAAATGCAGTGTTAATTTTTACAATATTTTTTTGTAGCTTCAGTAATGATAAAATAGAGAGACTTTGCTTCACAAAATGTATGTTTTGACTTTCGACTTTGGAAGAGTTAACCCAATGAACCCTGACTTCCTGACCACAAAATAACTCGTCCCCTGTTTTCCGGAGCAAAAAATGCTTACATGGCTACACGCAAAAGACAAAGCAACCAGGGACATGCAGTAACAGAAGAACAAAACATGAGCTAACCAGACGGTCTAATTTCCATCTCCAGTACTCCTGTTTGGTGTGGTAGTCCTTTCAGCCGGTAGATCCTTCTGTCAGACACCGTTGTGTTTTGCAGTCTTTGCATCAGAACTTGGTGTTGGTTTGTTTCACTGGTCTGACTTTGAACACCATGTTAGGGAAGTCCTTCACATGCTTTTTGTATTTGTGAGAACAAACAGCACAAATGTGAGGCAGCGTGGTGGAATCAGGCTCTCATCAATTTTTGGGCTTGTACAGTTATTGGTATCATCTTAAAGCTTGTTCACTTGTCTTTATTTGGAGGGAAAAAAATATCCATTTATCTTGAATACAAGTCGAGATATTTGAGAATGAAGGTCACCTGTTTTCAGATGTAAAATTAATGAGAAAATGGCCGCCAAAGATTAGTTATTTCCTTAGCTTGAGAGCTCGTGGTAACTGAAAAAATTTTTTTTTTTGGTCTTTAATCAATGTTTTTATGAAAAATCCGCACAGAAATGAGTTCTTTAATGGACATAATAGGTGTTGAGCCAAAAAACAAAAATTTTATAAACATTCACAAACCTGCGGAAAAATGCAAGTTTCTTCACTTTGATTATTTTGACGAGAGCCTGATTCCACCACGCTGCCTCACAAATGTTGTTTCCCGTGGCTTCACGTGGTAGGTAAGACATTTTTGGAAATGCAGTGTTTACAGGAGAATTTGTATAATAATCAAGTCCTGTCCTACCAGTGTCATATATGCCAACAAGTCTAGCTTGATCTGTGGTCCTAGGTCTAGTAGAAGTACATGGGCCAGGCCCACTTACAAACTGGTCACCGCTCAGTCCTTGCTGCTGCTCTAAATATACTCTTTGTACTTTTTCAACTTCTGATTCAGAAGAACTCGACACATGATCATCATAGGCACTTTCAAGATCACTGTCAGGATAATCAGCATTTTCCTCAGTTTCATCATCAGAACTGTCGTACAACCGCGATATTACCTGCTGTGTAGTCGACCGTCGGCGTGGTTGATCTGATAAAAAAACAGCTGTTTCGTGACTTCGCTTCATCATCAAAACATACACACCATGAACTCTGCGTGCCTTCTTTATTCTAACCAATTCCCTCTTCCTTGAGCTGCCTTGACCTTTACAATAGTTACCATGAACTTACAAGTCCTTTTGACGTCATTTTCCCCTTTTTATCCTTGTATGGACTACTGTTGTATTGCAGACTAGCACACACTGATATATCGGCGCTTCGGGGGCAGGGACAAATGACTCACACGCACACATATTGGTGTCACGGGTTCGTTGGGTTAAGTAAGGAAATGAGCTGTTATTAAAGACTTTTGTGTTTCCTAAAGTTGGATCACAGAAGTAATTATAAGAATTCATAGTAGACCCTACAATGACCTGCTGTCCACTGTGAAATGACACAAACTGAAAGTGTTTTGACACATTGCAAAATCACGTGGACCAGCAAAGACTGTCTGTCCTCCAGGGGAAAGTACGAAGCGGCAGAAGGAAAGGAAGATAGAAGAAGACATAATAGGATAATGTTTTAGAGTGGACTGGTCTGAAAATTATTTGAGGTGACGAGCATGTCTAACAGTGGAAAGGAGATGAGTTAGATAGGTGGAAAGTCATTCGTGGCACCCGAAATGTCGACGAGATGACAATGATCAAGTATGCCTTTCTTGATATCCATTTCTTCACTTACGTGATGGTTACACCTGTTTGTTTCTACATAATACGTCTTTACTTCACACTTTATGTATTGTACTAAGTCTCAAAGAGTATTTGCATGTGTGTAAGGGAGGGTTACAGAGGGCTGCGTGCTTGAAAGTTGCAAACTGTGTACAACACCAGTATCTCCTTTTTTGTTACTGGAGAGATTAAAGTTCTGTTGTGCCAAGATCTGTTTCTTGACTTCTCAGATTGACTGAAATTTATTAGAAAAGACAGTAGAATAGTGTTGTTGATGCTTTCCTCCTCTAGTTTTTTTCTTTAAAATTCATACCAACAAAAGCCCCACTGTCATTTGTTGTATAGAGGTTTAGCTCTTCTCTGTTGCAAGCATCAGACATGATTTTAATTTCTGGGTTGGGATGTTTGTTTATCAAGTTTGTCTGCTGGACTGCTGTATTCTTCTCTGCCTGGGTTAGGCAGTCTGCCTCCTAAAAAGATCTGTATTTTGTAGAAGGGGATGTGGTGTGAAACACTTCCTATGAACAATGAACAAGCCACACAAGGTAAATGACCTTTGACTTGAAGTGTTTTCAGCTTTTACCTCTTGTATGTGTCACAATGTGTTGGATTCAGGTACTCGTTAGACACATGGGGTTGTTGCTACCATCTTGAAACTTGTTCATTTGTCTTGATTTTTTATTGAAAAAATACCCATTTGTCTACAATAGAAGGTGTTTACAAGTAAAGGATGTTGGGGGGGGGGGGGGGGTTGCCTTTTGTGAGAGGTAAAATTAGTGAAAAAATGGCTGCCAGTTTGGTTACTTCCAAATCTTCAGCATCCTTGGGAACTGCAAATTTACATTTTGTATGCCTTTGATCAAAGTTTTTCTGTAAAATCCACTCAGAAATGTGTTTTTAAATAGGTATAGTAGGTGTTTCATTATTTTAACGAGAGTCTGGTTTCATCACAATGACTACCAGAGGGATTACTTTTTATCTTTACTGCTGCATCCCCTTTTTGGATGTTTTTAAAAAGTGTTTCTGATGAAGAAAGTCTTATTCAGTTGCTGGTCAGTTATTCGCTTTAGTTTTTTGTTTTGTTTTTTTTTTCCTTTGTGTGCCATAGCTTTGTTTCTTTTTATTTTGTACATCTTATGCTGCTGAATTTTATGACTGGTCAACAGGCCTATCCAGCTGATGTTCAGTGCTTGCTTTCGCTGCATGGTTTTTATGATTCATCGTAGTACTACTCTATCTTGTATTACTTATAAGGATACATTGGTGCTGATTATCTCTGTAAAAACTGCTTGTGATGAGTCATTTTGCTGCCCATTTATATGACATGCTCCTGGTTCTTCCCATGTTTAACTTTTGCCACAGATGGCGGATCTTTTGCTTTTTTCTTTCTTTTCCATTCCTTTGCTATTTTGTCATCTATCTTCATGCTCTTTAACAGACACTGTATGATTTTATGATTTTTGTTTAGGATTGCCACATCCTCTGATATTTCCCAGAAATATAGGATTCACAGTCAATTTTTTTTTTACCCCTTTTTGTGCAAGTTGATTTCCCATTTTGTGTTTGTGATGTGTTTATTTGAAAGTTCTTTACTTCATGTGTGACAATGACTTCTTTCAAATTCAACAGTCTAATTTAGAGGGAAAATTGTGCTGTTGACTGTTTTGACATATTGAAACAAAATCTCAATGTTTTTGTGGGTTTCGCAGTGGAGTCTTTTTCTGAAAATGTTCTTTGTTTCTTTGGAGTATGATTGAAATCTTTGAAGTATGATTTAAATGTTTTGTTTCCTAAAGTTCTACTGCTGTTGAACTCTTTTGCTCTGCTAAATGAAAGAATACGAAAGAAGAGTTGAGTTGTTTTTTTCCGAGGTGTGATCTTAAGTGCATACTTTTGTTTGAAAGTTATTTTTTAAAAGTAGCATTTAAAGATGGTTATGGTCACGGTGCTGTTTTAGGTCATGGAAGTGCACATTTGATTGTTGAGGACTCGATTAGTATTAAAGTAAAGGGAGTTGGTTGAAAGTTCTTGCTTTTTTTTTATTTATTGCATTTTTGCTTTTACTATGTTTCTTGTTTTAATATGTTCTTTCAAATTTTGATTTGACACTTATAGCAATACCAGTCATCATGGTAGTTTTGTTTTTGTTTTGCTGAGAATGTGTGACCCAGATATGCACTTGTCAATCCGAAGCTTTACTCAAATTCTTGAAAAGAATGTTCTGCTTACCAGTTTGTTGTCATATCCTTGCTTTGCCACCTAGATGGTTATTGCCTACTGGTTTGTCTTGAGCCCCTGAAAATACTTTGCCCTTTTGTCCAAAGCTACTGATTTCTGATGCATAGCTACTATTTAGCCATACAAAGTTGTGGATATATTTCTAAAACAAGGTCCAGGTTATTGGTTCTTCTGCTAAGAGCTTCTTTAAGGGTCATGGAATGATATAAGCACCTGTGGAAGTGCTTTAGAAGAGCTGCACTCCTCACCTGAACTACTTCCAGGGGTACATAGAAGAACACTGTCAGAAAATTCAGAACAAAAGTAAAGACACTTTAAAAACAGTTATAGTGTGGAAAATGGAGGGCGGAAGAAAGACAGACCAATGTCTTACAACACAGACAGAAGGCTTCCTGAAATGAGATCATGTGGAGAGTCTTCAAAGTGGTGAGATGTCAAATCTTCCTTTGATAGATGAAAAGCAGAAAAAAAGATTTGAATCTCAAACTGAACCAGTCTGCTCCAGACTCCACGATTGTTAAGATTTCTCCATGCTTCCAGATTTGCTTACCTGTGGCAGATGTACTCCAATTTTAGACAAGACCTGTTTTTGGAAGTTTTATGAAAAGACACAGAGAAAAAAAACACCTATGAATATATGAATTGTTTCAGCATTTTCTTTCTATCTGGTTCTATTGTACCTGTATAAGGCCATTTTCAAGTGAGCAGAGGATGTATTCATACGAAAGATCTTTTATATACAGAGTGACAGGTGTAGAGGGGGTTTTTTGTTTGTTACTGGCTAACTGGAACAGAAATTCTTTTCTCATCATTTGAAGTGGAGGCGATGTATTCCTCCCTGTATG